GCATGGGCCTCATCGGTGGTCAGCTTAAATTCCCTACTCTTCACCACAGGTGCCTCAGCCTTGCCCAGGAGGCCATCAGTAATCCTTAAGGTGGCTAGCATAGGCGCTGCCACTGTTCCTCCTGCCAGTCTTGGACAATCGGCATTTTTATGACCGGTCTGATTGCAATGGAAGCATATCATAATACCCCTGGGGTAGTCCCTACTCATGTGGCCCGGATGAGAATAACTGAAACATCTTGAAACTGTCGCTCAACAAGCCCCACTGTGCGGCTTCTCGTAACGGCCCTAACGCTGCTAGCCTCTGTTACAGGAATCAGAGGTGTTGGGCCTCTTCGCCTGGTCCACTGTTGTCTGCACCTACTTCGGCTTGAACTTCGACCGAAGCTCCAGTTCATGAGCCCTCTCGATCATATCATTCAGGATCTTGCACCCCAAGACCCTCACAAAATCTCTGATATCATCTCTCAGCATGTCATAATACCTCGTCTTCTTCATATCCTCATCCGCAACGTACTAAGGGACCAACAACCCCTCTCCCTAATTTTGGTAGTAATCTCCGCCACAGTCTCCGAAGTCTGGCGTAGGTCTCGGAACTCCCTTTCTGGTTGCTACACCTCAATTGCTGGTGTAAACTCCCTATGGAACCACGAAATGAAATCCTCCCATGTCATAACTGCCACTGCCACTATCCCTACAGCTCGGCTAACCTCCTCCCACAAGTCTCATGCTCGGTCCCTCAACATGCAGGATGAAAATCCTACATTTCACCCCTCAGGGAAAAAACTAGCCCGCTGTGCATTCTCCATGTCAACGATCCAACGTCGGATACCGATGACATACTTATCCCTAAATAACTTAAGAGCTCCAAAGGCCTTGAACTCCCGGAATGTGGGAGTTCGAGCTCAGTAATCTCAACTCGAAAAGACCTGAGCCTCTCATTCATCAACTACATAATCCCCTCCTTGATGGTCCCGAAAATCATAGGAGTAACATCCAAGATACCACGAGCAACCTCAGCCAAAATGAACTCACGCAGCCTCTTGTCAATTGGTTCCGTGCCTGAGCCAGAACCAGAACCTGAACCTCCTCGAGTAGTCATCACCATATTCAAACTGAAACACAAATGTATAAATAATCAATACAAAACTCGAGGAATTAATCACTATATAGGTCTCCTTAGAGTTTCTATATCTACTCTTTTCTTAGGTATAGATCCCATGCTTCCAGTAGTACGGGCCCAATACTACCTTTCACACCTACTTGTACCTTCCTCAAGAGCAGTCCTAATTCCTCTAAGTCAACACACTAAAACCATATACCAACCCTATGCTAACAACATACATATCTTAGGTTCTCCTAGTAAGTCTCAACTCCCACCGCCCGCAATACTAAGAACCTCAATCAACACCGTTGGTTGCCTTATGCATGCTACTTATACGCAAAATAGGATCACATAGACTGTCAAATGATGATTCTACCCTAAGTACACAACCAAACAAGGAACAGGAAATGAGGCCAAATCGATCATTCTAGGGCTATATAATCCTAATCGTATACAAATTTGAAAACATACACTTAGCAATTAACTGAGCCGATATCAATACCAAGTACATAGCATCCAATCCTCCTAGGCTATAAGGCATCAAAAAAATAACGTAATTCTATCATATCATTCCTGAAGGTATGTTTAGCCCTAATCTAGCATGCAATTGTCATATCAAGTATACTACTCATAATACATGGGTATGATTAATCATGGGAACCACTTACTTGAGCTCGGCTGATTGCATGCATCGCACCCCTTTTCTTAGTATAAATCTTTTTAGAAGTTAAATTTCATTTTTCTTTAAAAAAAGATTATCATTTCCTCAGTTTGAGTTCTGACACATCCGAAAGTGTGCCCGAATCCCTCAAACCAAGGTTCTCCTACCAACTTGTAACAGCCTAAAAACAGTAATAATTTTTTTTTTCTGTTAAGGTCCATGAAATCATTCATCAATTGTTTCAAATCCAGCACCAAATCATAATATTAAAAACATCATAGTACAATTATTCAAATTGTGGATGTCATGTGGGGAGGATGTTGTGGCATCATGTCGGGACCTTCCCTGTCGAATCGGAAGTACCTGAAACCATAAACATAAACTGTAAGCACAGAGCTTAGTGAGTTCCCCAAAGTACCACATACCAAACATACGAATATGGGCCCCACCTTGGGGTATATTTCAACCCAATAAACAAATATAGGCCCCGCCTTGGGGTATATTTCAACCCGCACATGCCATAGTGGGCCCCGCCATGGGTTTTATTTCAACCCGACATACCGTACTGGGCCCCATCATGGGTGTATTTCAACCCGAACATGTCATAGTGGGCCACTCCTTGGGGTGTATTTCAACCCGAACATGCAAACACATATAAGCTACATAACAACTATCATTTTACTTAACACTATAATAGGCTGGAATTGGTGCCTTCGACCCATATATACAGTGAGAAAACTCACCTTATAGACAGGTGAGAAACTGAAACAACACACTGCTCCGAAATCAACTCTATCGATCACCTTTAAGAATAAATTGACCAAAACTCAGAATATAGATCAAAATACCCAAAATACCCGTAGGTCAACTTTGGTCAAAATTTAAGTCAAAGTCAACTGAGTCAACAGGGTCAACTCAATGAGTACACTAGGCGTACTCAACACGTACGCGGGGCGTACTGTATGCGAGACGAAACGACGAAGGGCTGACCATGTACGTGCAACGTACCCTTTTGTACGCCCAATGTATGCGACTGCCACTCACTCAACCCATTAAGTGCTTAATCCTTAAGCACTTACGTCCAAAATCCAGAACTAGACCCTAAAAGGTGTTCTTAACCATAAGGTTTCCAACTTTATGGTTTTTCAAGGCCATTAACACCTTAACATAAAAAAAAACTAGCTTCTTGACTCATTCAGACAACTTAAATCATGCATGCAAATAAACTAATGTCTAAGGTCACATTTTTATGACTTAAAACACCTTAAAACATTTGAAAAGACAACTCAAAGGTCTTGGAGTATGCCATACTCACAATGATCAAGAATTGGGACAAAAAGGTGTCAACTTTAAGCTAAACTAGATCTTAATGAAATATTCATCAAGGTTGGAGCTTTATACTTCCAGAAGATGCACAAGAGAGTGTGGTTATTGGAACCAAAGCCTTGAGTGAAACACCACAACATCCGGTTTCCTCTTTTACCACCAAGAGCACTAAATTGACACCAGAATGGCTCTCTAAGCTTCAAATCACACTCACACACTTTACGGTTTTGAGATAGGGATGGAGGCTGAAGATAAGGAAGGGTATGGGTCTATAATGATGCTTAAATAGGGTCCAAACCCTGGCCACGTACGCCCAGCGTATGAGAGCCTTGCCCATAAATTATAAAAACTCCCCTTGGGACTAAATTTGCAAACCAAAATCAAATCAAGATTCAAATCTGAAAATACCTGGAAATCAAGAGGTTACAACTTCCTGCATGTTTATAATCCTAAGAATACATGCATTAAGATACGTCAACAAAATATTGTTGATAAGTTCCACAGGTTTTGACTCGAAGTACTTTTATAACCGAAAGTATTTTATAAAACTTTATCTGGTTGACCAATTTTTATAAATACGTACTTTTCTATCAAAAATATAAAATAGATTAGTGAATCTAGATGAATGAATTAAGCCTATGTGCCCTTCCACATGACATATATATTGGTTTACGATTTAAGATAATGTCATGCCTTGATGTAGTGAAACGATGTTATAAACAAGGCAGTTATATAGGTTACTATTAGATATTGCATGAAACTTACGAAGGATGCATATATTCAAGATTAGGGTTTTCTACTCTAATTGTTAGGTATGATACACTTGGTATAATTAGATATATGTTTGTTTATGGCCATACACAAAATATTGATTATCCATTAATTATGTTATCTTATACGACTTTGTCGATAGAGAAACCTCTATTGAACCTATATGATAATAATTAGATCCACATATCACGTTTAATTATATTAGAACAAAGGAGAATTAAGACGCTAGTGTATTCATTATTAAAAGTTAAGGGAAGCACTACTAGAAAAACAGCCTTTTATGACGCGCAATCAATGACATGCGCTGATAGAGGACACACATTTGTGTGTGCCCTAAAAATTGATGTCAGTTTTCTAAAATATGAAGCATAGAGGACACACATTTTTGCGTGCCCTAAAATTAATGTCTAATAAAAATAACACGAAGGGCACCTTAAACAAAATGTGTGTCGTCTAACCATGTCGCTTTATAAATTTTAATGAAACGCGCATTTCATCCAAGGGGGAAATGAAAAAAATTAAAAAGCCCGCTTTGTTTCCACCGGCTGAAAACCCTAGCTGATCCCCGCCGAAAACCCCCTTTCTTTCTTTCTTCTCTCTCAAACTTTACTAATTGACTTGAAATTGGTCCTGTATATGTTGAATTCTCGATTGCTTTTTTAATCTGGTTTCCTATCACATGAAACTTCCAATTTGCCTCTATAATCAAATAAAGCTTCAATTACAAATATTATTTGCTAATTACTAATCAGATGCGACCCATATGATTGTTAATGGTGATAGGATTCCGATTTGATGTTCTCAGATATTTTGATAGATCATCTTTGATGAGGTGTTGATCTCTGTTTTAAGTTTTGAGCAATCTAAAATTGTGTATGCCAGACATGGACCAAAGAAGAGACGGATGAACTGTTTGGTTTGTGTGAACGTTTTGATCTGCGATTCTCTGTGATTGCTGATAGATTTTCATCATCTCGAACAATGGAGGAACTGAAGAATCGCTACTATAGTGGTAAGTTATCATTTTCAATTTCATTTTCATTATTACAACTTAATATTTGTTTGTTTTCTGCAGTTTCTCGTACAATATTGATTGGTCTGTATTACAAGGACTGACGTCAAAACCCTAACTTCGATAATGGATGCCAAGGACATTCTAGGAATACCGAAAATTTCACTTCCCCTACCACAAGAAAAGAAATCGAGACCCCAGGAGGATTCTCAGATAAAACCCGATGGCATTTCACAAGTCACACGTGTCATACATATTAACTTTTGATCACATTCACTCTTTTGTTCATCAGTTCATCACTTCCTACCTGATATCCTCATTGATGTTGTTCTTATCTTGGACACTTACTGGTGACTCTTTGACATTGACCCATTCGTAAAGTCATCTTTGCGGTTTATCTCCAATTAACCTTACCACCATGGTCTCTTGAGTGTCTCCTTTAACTTCTATTTTCTACTTTCAACTTGTTTGTCTTCAACATTTTAAAGAACTTTTGTTGTGGCTTACTATTCTGTCTATTTGATTTACTTCTATGATTGAAGCTCTACAACATGCCTGCCTACAACATCCCTTTGTAGTAATTTTCAGAACTGTTAAATGATATGGGTTTGCCATTTGGCTTGTTAACAATATTGAGACTTTTTCTTCAGATAACTTGAGAATGGCTTGCTTTCACAAATTCTGCTCGAAAAGATAACTTGCAGCTGTACCATTGGGTATATTATTTTGTACCTTTTTCTTTTTGTGATTTGGAGGTATTCATAAAATGTATTTTGCTTCTGAACTTTAATAGGTTAGAGTTGTAAATGGAACTCCACCGACAGGAGATTATTCATTTGCAAAATACAACAAGGTAGATGTAATTTCTTCCTTTTCATGACAGTTACTTTTGCATGTTGGTCATTGACCTGAGCATTCTGCATTGTAATAGCTTATTATTTTGTAGTCATCAAATGCTTTCTTTTTCTTGTCTTCATTATTACCAATAGTTGTCCATGGTTCTCTCCCAGACAATATCTCTCAAGAGATAGAGCGTAAGCGTGCATTTTCCATGGTTCTCTCCCAGACAAAGCACCAAGAGCGTAAAGATGCTGAGGTATACATTTTTCCCTTCAAATAATCAAAGCCTTTTTTTTTCTTTTAGTATTAATATGGAACATAAGCTTTTTGTTTCAGGTTCTTTCTGAAGCTAAGAAAATAACTGAGTCACGTATGGCTGCAAAGGTAAGTTTTGTAATCTTGTGAAGTGTTTAATAGCAGTTTTAGTAATTTTATGAACTTGTGGAATGATGTGAAGGATTAAGCTTCCTATGCCCATTATTTTCGTAAAAGATAATACTTGGTTATGTGTTTTTCAGGCTGCTCAAGATGCAGAGTTGGCTGTCACATCAAATATTAGTCCAGAAGGCGTGGAGAAAACTGGTGCTCCTGCTGATACCGCATCACCTTCTAGTATGCAAGTGGCTGCAGGTGGAGGTGGAGGTGCTGCACCTTTGATGTCAATTGCAGACAATGCTGCTGCTGCTTCAGCTTCCATTCGCATGGTATGACAAGTCTTTATGTGTCATTGCTTCTGTATTATATATATATATATATATATATATATATATATATATATATATATATATCTAATATTGACATGACTGGTAAATACTTGTATGTTTCTTAATTCAACACCTACCCCACATATCAATCCAGAGCTGTTTGCTTTTTTTTTTCATATTTGTACTCTACAGGAAATCATATCATTATTTCTTGTGTGCAGCTTCGGGTGAACTTGAGAACCTATGCACTGGATCAAATGGTGCAAGTTGCAACCTCTTCAGCAGGATTGCGAACTATTAAGCGTGTTGAACAGTTCTTACAAGAGCTTAAGGTTTCTTACTATCCATTCCTCTATACATTCTTCAATTCCATATTTTTATTACTATCTTTCGTTGTTTATTATCTTACTCATACAGTAAGTAATATACGCTTTCCATTTTAACAGGTGAATTTGAAACCCAAAGTCCCTACTAAAGCTGTTTGTGCAGAGCATCTGGAATTGAGAATGATAAAAAAATCAATAACCAAATATATGGTACAAACATTAGAGTTAAAAAAAATGACAAAAAAATCAATAACCAAATATATGCTACAAACATTAGAGTTAAAAAAATGGTACAACTGTACATGAGATTCATTATGAACTACAATGCAATCAACTTTGTTGATATAAGTTCAGACAATTATTCACCAGAGGATAACCAAGGCCTAGACTATGAAACTGTATTTTATTAATATATTGTTCCATTCATTTTGTATGATACACATCCACTTCATTCAAATACTTTAGACAAGGGTAATATGGGAAAATCAGCAAATAAAGAGAATCTTATTAGTGGAGGGGAAAATTAGGTATTTTGTTTAATACATTTTGTTATGAGAGAATCTTATTTGTATGATACACATCCACTTCATCCACTTCATTCAAGTACTTTAGACAAGGGTAATATTCATATGTATACTCAGATGATGCAGGAAAAACTGGTGGTCAGCAGTCCATGTAAGTTTCTTGATTTGTAACATCTTGTATTCAAGAAATAGCAATGTACTTTCCATAAAAAAAATTATAAATTATATTCTTTGAAAAATTTGCTAGATTGGTAGGTTTAAAAGTAGAATGTCCTAATAAGAATTAATTTTAAAAGTAGAACGAAAATGACAAGTGATTTTGTGTCATGTTTACAGGGTTGATGAAAGCGAATAGCTCTGGAGTTAGAAGAGGAAAAGAAAGCTCAAGCTGAAAGAGATAAGATGCTGCAAATGCAAGTGTTGCATTCTTCATTTCAATTGTTAGTATGAAACATAGAGTAGATTAGATGAATGAAAATTTATATATTGTAAGAAATAGAATTGTATGACATTAAATTTTATGCAATGGATTGTATTTTTTGTATATGGTATTTTATTTCTATTATGAGACATTAAATGCAAATTTAATTTAAAAATTAATAAATATATAAATATATTTTGTAAACATTTAAATTTACGATACGCAAAAATGTGTGTCATCTTCATTTATGACATGACCTTTCTTGACATGGGTTTTAATGATACGCATTGCGTGTTATAAATGCTCTTCGTAAATGCGCGTCGTCTGTAGACGATGCACAAAAGCGTGTCGTCTCTCGTTATGACAGGGCATTGCTTGACGCGCATTTGCGCGTCGGCTGAACGTTTTACGATACGCATTGCGCGTCGTAAAAGGCTGTTTTTCTAGTAGTGAAGCTTTGTGAAGACAAAAAATTATGTATGATTAGGGAAAGTGATTTGTTGCTAAGAACATAACATTGCTTGTATAATTTATGTTTTTTCTATTGTATAGATGGGAGTCTATTAGATATAGCATGTACGATACAAATAATTTACTTCATTGAAGATATGTCAAACTATGTGGTCATATAGTAAGAACAATAAAAAAAGCTATGAGAATAAAATATATGTTTATGTGAAGATTAATTATTTACTAACTAGAATAAATAATTAAAAAATAATTTATTATTTATTAAATAAAAAAAATATTTTATTTAATAATTAAATAAAAATTATATTTTAGATAAATAATTATAAAAATTGATTTGATGAGTTGTGTCACTTCAACAGTTTGACTACTTCAACTGTTTGGCTAGAAAGTGTTTAAAAAGTCACCAAACAGATAAAATATAAAAGAAAAAAAATAACCAATAAATAAAGAATGTATCACAAGTGAAACCCTAACGCTTACCTCCTCCCTCCCTTGTACATTAACAATGGCTCCAAACCATAAACCTAAATAGGAAGAGGATCAATATGGAACTTGCTTTGATGGTGTTACTTTAAATAGAAATGTTGACAAAATACATTTCAATCTTTGAAAACAAAAAAAATACATATTCCAATCTTTAAAAAAAACATATTTGAATCGAATGTATGAAATGGTTTAACATCATGGGCATAACATCATTGCAATGTCTGAAATGGTATAACATCATGGGCATACTGCCATATATGGATATTTGTTTAAATCCAATACAATATAGTACGTAAAGAAACAAAAATAATGTCATTTAAGAGTACAAAACTTTAAAAGAAAATTTCGATGTACATGCATAAATAAAATTATCAAAACATAACAACATAGAAAACAAAATGTAATACATTAAGATGTAAATTGTAAGTCGTACATTTTTTTGAACCATCAAATTAACTTACTCCTAAATACCACATATGTCTCCTATTAAGACTTGAACGGTTGAACCCATAACCTCTCATTTGAGATAAATTATCAATCCTCGAAAGTGGGTAACGGTTCTTCACCCTTAACTTATTTAACTCCAGGTAGTTAATGCACATCCTATGTTAACTGTCTTTCTTCTTCACAAACAGGATCGGTGCTCCCCAAAAAGAGCTACTCGGTAGAATAAATCCCTTGTCTAGTAGCTCCTGAACCTGCGTAGACACTTCCAGCATCTCTGGTGGTGCCAATCGATACGGTGCATTGGCTATCGAAGCTGCACCAGAACCAGATCAATCTGAAACTCGACCTGCCTCTCGGGAGGCACTCCTGGAAAATCCTAAGGAAATACATCGGGAAAATCCCAAACAATGGGCACCTTACTCAACTCCTTCGTGCCCTCGACTCGAGTGTCTGCAACATAAGCTAGAACCCAGAACAACCCCGCTGAAGATATCTCCTGGTCCTCACGGCTAAACTGAGAGCTGGTCCATGCGAGGCTCCCTCTTTAGGAATAACTAGTTCTCCCCCACTTGTGGTTCGAACTCTCACTAGTTGTCGCTCGCAATCAATCATGATCCCATTGGGGCCAAACCAATCCATCCCGATGATAACCTTCGACCCTCTCAACAGAATCAACACAAAATCAATAGAGTATCTCTCACTAAACAGATTAAGGACACACCCACGATGAACCCACGAAGCACTCACGGTACGGTCATCTGTAATCTCAACCTCCAATGGAAAATCCAGAGTCTCGGGAGCATCACAAAACTTCTTGCTAAGCGCAACAGCTACAAAGGATCGGGTAGCACCCGAATCAAATAGGACATGATAAGCCATACCATTGACCAAAAAGGCCCCTATAAAAGATCAAATATAATCATAAGCATAAATAAGGAAAGCAATAAAAATTAGAAATGAGTCACATATCCGTAGCCACATACAGTGTTGCACATGCCTCATTGGTGGTCATCTGAAATGCCCTGCTCTTCACCACATGTGCCTCCGCCTTGTCCAGGCGGCCATCAATACTCCTCAAGGTGGCTGGCATACACGCCATCCCTTCTCCTCCTGCCAGTCTTGGAAAATCTGCCTTTTTATGGCCGATATGATTGTAATGGAAGCAAATCAGACTGCCCCTGGGCCAGTCCCTACTCATGTGGCTCGGCTGGCCACAATTGAAACATCTTGAACTCGTCGCTCGACAAGCCCCACTATGTGGCTTGCCGCAACAGCCCCGATCTTGCTAGCCTCTGGTGCGGAAATCGGGGGTCTTGGCCATCTTAGCCTAATCCACTGCTGTCTCCACCTGCTCCGGCTTGAGCTTCGACGGAAGCTCCAGCTCAGTCTCCCGCTCATGGGACCTCTTGATCATATCATCCAGGGTCTTGCACCCCGAGAAGCTCACAAACGCTCTAATATCATCTCTCAGCATGTCATGATACATTGTCTTCTTCATCTCCTCGTTCGCAACGTACAGCGGGACCAACAAAGCCCTCTCTCTGAATTATGCAATTATCTCTGCCATAGTCTCTGTAGTCTGGTGAAGGTCCTAGAACTCCTTTGCCAACTGTTTCACCTCAATAGCTAGTTCAAACTCCATTTGTAATCTCAAAATGAAATCCTCCCAGATCATGATTGCCACTGTCGCTGACCTTACAGCTCCGTGAACGTCTTCCCACCATTCTCGTGCTCGGTCCCTCAGCAGGAAGGATGCAAATCCCACCTTTTCCCCCTCAAGAAAAAAACTCGTTCCCTGAGCATTCTCGCTAGCGATGGGGCCCTTAGCCCCAGATAACTCAGGAGCTCCGTAGGCCTACAACTCCTGGAATAATGGAGTTCAAGCTCCTATCAGACCCGCAGTAATCTCAACTCGAAAAGACTTGAGCCTCACATCCATCATCTCCATAATCCCCTCCTTGTTGGTACTGAACATCACAGGAGTAGTATCCAAGATACCGCGAGTAACCTCAGCCAAAATAAACTCGCGCAACCTCTCGTCAATTGGTTTCATGCCTGAGCCAGAACCTGAACCTAAACCTGAACCTAAACCTGAACCTCCTTGGGTAGTCATGACCATACTCAAACTGAAACACAAACATATAAATAATCAATATATAACTCGAGGAAATCCTCACTATACAAGTCTCCTTAAAGTTTCCAGATCTACTCTTTTCTTAGGTACATATCCTATGTTTCCAGTAGTACGGGCCCAAGACTACCTTTCATACCTACACAAAATTAGATCACATAGACTGTCAAATGATGATTCTACCCTAAGTCTACAACCAAACAAGGAACATGAAATGAGGCCAAATTGATCATTATATGTCTATATAACCATAATCGTATGCAACTTTGAAAGCATACACTTAGCAATTAACTAAGCTGATATCAACTCCAAGTAAATAGCATCCAATCCTCCTAGGATATAAGGCATCACACAAATCAGGTAATCTTGTGAACCACTAACTTGAGCTCGACTGATTGGATGCATCACACCCCTTTTTTTTAGTAAAAATCTTTTTAGTAGTTCAATTTTGTTTTTCTTTAAAAAAATATTATCATTTCCTCAGTTTGAGTTTTGACACACCCGACAGTGTACCCGAACACCAAGGCTCTGATATCAACTTGTAACAGCCCAAAAAAAGTAAAAGAAAATATTTTTAGTTCCATCAAACCATTCATCAATTGTTTCAAATCCTACACCAAATCATAACATTCAAATCATCATAGTATAATTATTCAAATTGCAGAAGTCATATGGGGAGGATGTGGTGCCATCACACCAGACCCTTCCCTTTTGAATCGGAAGTACCTGAAACCATAAACATAAACTGTAAGCACAAAGCTTTGTGAGTTCCCTAAATTACAACATACCAAACGTATGAATATGGGCCCCGTCCTAGGGTATATATTCAACCCAATAAACAAATATGGGCCCCGCCATGGCGCCTCGCCATATGGTATATTTCAACCCGATCATGCCATAATGGGCTCTGCCCTAGGGTATATTTCAACCCGACATACCATTTTAAGCCCCGTCCTGTGGTGTATTTCAACTTGAACATGTCATAGTGGCCCCCACCCTGGGTGTATTTCAACCCGAACATGCAAACACATATAAGCCACATAACATCTATCATTCTACATAACACTATAATGGGCTGACATTGGTGCCTTTGACCCATAGATACAGTGAGAACACTCACCTTATAGACAGATGAGAAACTGAAACAAGACGCTGCACCGAAATCAACTCTATCGGTCACCTTTAATAATACAATGACCAAAGCTCAAAATATAGATCAAAATACCCAAAATACCCCTAGTTCAACTTTGTTCAAAATCTAAGTGAAAGTCAACTGAGACAACCGGGTCAACTTGGTAAGTACGCTGGGAGAACTCAACACGTATGCGGGGCGTACTGCAAGCTTGATGAAATGACGAAGGGCTGACCATGTACGCGCAGCGTACCTTTTGGTGCGCCCAACGTACGCGGTTGCCACCCACTCAACCTATTACATG